CTCTTTCCAGGAGCTTTGTTATCTTATAACAAGGTTTCAGCTACAATGTATCTTTTGCAAGCCTTGTTAAAATTCCACTATCAATTTTTTTTAAGTTCCAGGTGGTCTCCTCCATTTTCCAGATTCCACCCTTTTTTTTTCCTTTTTCCCTCCGCTGCTTTCTTTCTTTTTTAAAAGAAAGTTTTTAAATTATCCAAGAATCTTTATCCCTTTGACACTTTATTTTCAGCTAGAAATAGCCTATTAATGTCAAAGTGGATTAGTATCAATTCCTTATTCAAATCTCTTCTTCTTAGTGTTCCAAGTCAGTTAAAACTATCGATGTTAGAGGAAAAAAAGCCAATTCCATTTCCTTTCTCTTTCGCAGCTTAAAATCTTTTTTAATAATAGTATTAGTCTTTAAAATTCAGGTTCCAGGTACCTTAAATAGATGTTCTCCATTCAACCCGGTCAGTCAAACTTTCTCCTTTAAACTTCCTCCTGCACCATCTTGTCCGGTCGAGTTCTTCTTTGAGGTGGCCATTTCTGACCACCACTGCAACCGCCTTTGGGAAAGGGAGTAATGGCCAGCCGAGGAGGAGAGATGCGGCTCCACTTTTCAAACCCGCTGACAGCTCCCCCTTCTTCACCACCTCTACGGGGTGGCTTCAGCCCCAAATCCGGGTGGCTCGGGGCACTCCAGCGGCAAGCACGGATCAAAACCGCAGACAATCGCCATTTCGGTCCATCGCCAAAAAAGCCCAAACCAGAAGTCCAGGGTCAAGCTATTTTCTGAAGCGCTTCTAGGCCATGCAAGAAATAATGGATGGAAACTGAACAAGGAGAGATTTAACCTGGAAATGAGGAGAAACTTTCTGACAGTAAGAACAATCAACCAATGGAACAGCTTGCCCTCGGAAGTTGTGGGAGCATCATCACTTGAGACTTTCAAGAAGAGATTAGACTGCTATTTGTCAGAAATGGTGTAGAGTCTCCTGCTTGGGTGGGGAGTTGGAGTAGATGACCTACAAGGTCCCTTCCAACTCTGATTATCTGTTAAATCAATGCAAGACTTTTATATGCAAAAGCAGAAGGAATGAAGTCATCCACTATTTTACAACACTCAAGAGACATTTCTGATAAATCCAATAATCATATAAGTAAAATATGGTCAGAAAAAAATAAAATTGTACAAAGAGACTTGAATGAGAGAAAAGTCTTTTTTATGCTCTGAAGATATATGATATCCTATAGCAAGAGTTACTTGTTATGAATTTCTAATTCCAATATTTGAACTGCTAGAGTTCAGCATCACCACACCACTAATTAAAGTGTTCTGGATTTATAAGTGGACATAGCTGTAGGGATTCTATACACCAAGCAGTGAAAATTAGAAGGCACACCAGCTTTTAAAAAATAAGACCAATATTATACTCCAGCGGCTCCACTGATGAATGTGCACATAAAGAAGTAGGGAGGTGGGCTGTTCCAAATCTGCATTTTAAATTGTATTATTATTCTAAATGTCACACGAATAAAACAGCCTGAACTCATGCAAATAATATCATTTCTAGAACTTCATAGGGATGAAGAAGTATACTGTGAACTGGGTGCCTTAGTTTGTCAAAGGAGGCTCAAGAACTTTTCTCTAGTATCAATGTAATTCGATCACATTGAGGGGTGGGCTAATCAGTTCCATACCAATGTCTTAGGTATTCATTTGTTTCTTACATGTTTTATTTATTTATTTATTTATTTATTTATTTGATTTGCCAATTGTTTACAAGATAGTAAGTATAAGTGTATACATAGTTGTGGATACATGAAATGGGTACATATAAGAAAAATAAAAGAATAAGAGAAACAATAGGACAGGGACGGTAGGCACGTTGGTGCGCTTATGCACGCCCCCTACAGACCTCTTAGGAAAGGGGTGAGGTCAATAGTACATGTTGGTTCATTATCATCCCACTCGGTGGGGTGGGGGGGTTAAAATGCATAAAAGTATTGTTTCGGGAAGTATTTTACCCTAAATTATGAGGTTTTTATATGTATTTATTCTGCTAAATTTTCCATTTTACTGTCATTTTGCCACTTTTTAAAGTCAAGCCTACAATGCAATGTATGACAATGACATACAAAGAACTTAGTGATGTGAGAAAAATGAATTCATCTTATAAAGAAGAATATGAAGAATAGCGAGATTACAATAATTTCTCATGATGTCAAAGTTACAATTTAGCGTAGCAGAAAGTGTGAAAGTCAGTCCTGGTGGCACAGAGGAAAAGCAGCTTTCAACAAGACACTGGAGGGCAGCATTGCACCTTTCCCTGTGAATTCAGGCTCTTGTACATCCACATGCAATCTTAGTTCATTCGTTTTATAACCTAATTACACTGGATTGGATTATCATCACTTTGAAATTCATATTGAAACCAATGGCTGAATATAACAAATCTGCTGTTGACATTTTATTCAGAATTCACAAAACATGAGGTGTCTTTGTTTTAAACTTGAGATCATGGCTAAACATATTATTCATTTTGAAGTTTTCACATATTGGTGAATATTTACTTCTGTTCATGTGAATGTTTATTCAGATACAAGATAGATTACCTAACTGTATCTGAGTCCAACCCTCATTGCTTTGGGTTGCAGTATAAACAAAAGGATTTTCTAATACATTATTTTTGCTACGTATCATATATTTGATGTGTCCTTCTATCATTGTTATGACTGTATCAGTGGTAAGTAAACAGTGCAGGGGCACTTTTAACTGAAATCCTAATTTCACTTTTAGGATGGCATAGGTCACAATGAATATGGTAGTAGATAATTAAATACACAGGGGCAGAGCCAGAATTTTAGATATACAATAGTTATTTCTTTTTTAAGTTCCTTTTTCAAAATGGATTAAATCTATCTGGAGCTTGTACTATAGTTTTTATATGAATCTTATTAGAGTTGCAGAAAACTGTTTCCATATTTTTAGAGAAATTATTGGTGGGGTGTTTAAAGACTATTATGGCTCACCACATGCTGCTTGGGCCTCAGCTTACTGGCTCCTGTTTTTAAACTTCTTCTGTTTCCTATTTTGAAAGTGTGGTTTTGTTTACAAACTTTACCTCTTTGAATTACTGTGGCCTTCAGTTTGCAGATTATGGTGTTGTATGTTATGAAATAGTTACATTGCAATCAGGTTGCAATCATATTAATTGAAATAAACAGGTTGCTGAAGAATATGGGTCCTGCTGACAAAAAAATGAAATACCTATAATGTAAAATAGATGTGTTCAAGGATTGTGATAGTAGTTTTGAATGAAAGTTGTTTGTCTTTCTGTTAAAATTAGTTATTGTTATACTTCAAAATTTATGTTAGGGCATTGTCACAATACACCAGCTTTAAAAGTAGAGTTTGACTAAAACTTTGTTGTGGAAGTGCTGGTAAAACAAATAATATTTTAAGGAGGAAAGGGTGCTGCATCAATTTTACACATTTTACACATTTTATTTAAATGAGGGTTAACTCCAATATCTTCTTGAACTCTACATATTATTTTATCATGTGCAGATCAATTACAGTACATTATCTATTGGGGGGGGGGGTTAGGGGCAAAATCTGGCTCAAAGCAACCATTTTCAACGAAATCAAGGAATGACATTATGAAGGTCATATTTTCTTTTTTCGGCAGGTTTTCTTTTGTCACCATGAGATTAAGTATTATAATAATTATAGCTCCAGCCCTAGTCAGTATTTGTCTAATGGAAAGCCTGAAAGGTTATTCATTCCCTGCTAGGGTCTAAAATTTGGGAGATCAGAAAAAGCATTTTCCAAATATGATAGACTTAATGTGAGTCATAGGGAATGTCTATCAGTATCCTCATAGATATAGCATGTACAAGAAATGTACTCTTTACAAACTATTTCAATTTTAGGCAACTAAAATGATTTCTATTTCAAAATGAGCCCTGAATGGTGTTTGCCAAAGAAGCAGTAGCCAGTATTAAATTAAGGAGCCAGAAGTACTTAAAAACAATAATAGATAATAGAAAACAACAATAGTCTCATATATGAAAAATAGAAGAGAGAGCATATGTTCACATCAGAGCTGCATTTTAGGGTAGAGTTAAAAATTGAAAATGGACTTGCAATGGATGGAAATGTAATTTGTATGAAAATGTATCATTAACATTTGCAGATGTCTAAGAATTCTTTGAAAGAATCTTACGTGGTTGCATTGGTCTTGTATATAAAATGATTTCTCTGAAATCAGCATCCAGTTACAAAAAAGAAAGTATACTTGCTGTTATATTTACCATTCAATCTGGTTATATTTACCTATTCAATATTCCAGTAGGGAATATTTCTGTTAAAAGACATCTGATTATTAAGCCGGCATCTAACAGAGAAGAGAAACCTGCCCTGGTAGATTTGTTCATTCTTTTTATGTATGTATTCTTCAAATACCATTTTCTTGATATTTATTTTGTAACATCTCTTTGTGAAGGGAAAATAAAACAGCTTTGTGTAGAAAAAAATGTATGTAACTTGTATTAAAAGTTTTTTTTTTTTTTTGCAGCATTTGATGGGTGGCATTTCAAAAGTATGTGATATAAGAAGTCCTGATTGTAAGAGAGGGTTATGGGAACCAAGCTCTTTATTTTGCTTTAGTCAATTTGTGGGTATAAGGCAAGTCCTATTAAGCTAAATGTAGCTCATAGACTGCAACTTTTAATATTTTTGGTGTAGAACTTCAGTACATATTGTTATTTCCTTTAATGTACATAATAACATCATTCACCAACTGGCAGATTAAATTATGGGGCTGAAAAACCATTCATAAACATCCTTTTTTTTTTTTTTTTGGTTAAGAAAAGATTTATATAACATATTTATTTCATTTCTGCACCAAGACTTTTTCATTCTTTATTTAACAATAAGCATTCTCTGAGTTAGGATATTGTTTTTGTCCTTTGTGGTAGCATACAAAAGAATTTATATATTTTCTTTCTCATTCTAGATTTCAGAAATATTGGTCCAGAAATTAAACCAAAATGCCATTCAGTTCAACTTAAAACCTGGAGTTAGAATCCTTGTTCATGCGGCTCATTTAACAGCAGGTTGGTGCTGATTCTTTAACAATTGATCTAGCATTGCTGGAACAGTTAATTGGCAATGCTTTGATGATAGAGTTGTAGATTTTTAATGTTCAGAATATTTTTCTACTTTTCTTTTATTGACATGTATTTAAAATACTTCTTTGTAATAAAATACAATACAATACATAGCTACTTAAATTATATTACTTTTATTGAGACAATCACATTTAATGTCCAAAATATTAGAAAAGGGAAAATTCTGTGAATGGAAGTAGTCCTCAAGACTTAGTGGTGTGGGATACCTTTACAATAGAGATATAATACATACATTTTTAAATTCACTTTTCATGGTTTTGATGACTGCTAGCAGTTCTTTCTATTTCTTCATTAAAATAAATAAATACATCCAGAAACCAAGTCTTGAAAATGTAGTTGAAATTATATGTATATATGGCACTGGCTCCATAGGTATAGTACTTTTGTATGTAAGGATAGAAAAGTACATCATATACCAAATTTTAATTCTAAGAAGATGCAATTTATTCATATAATTTCATTCAAAAGTGCTAGGACAAATGTAGTTACAATGATGATTACCTAAAAAGAAAGATACTTTTTATTCCATAGACTATATTCATTTTTGCTTATTAACTTGAATTGTCACAACTATACCTGATTAAAAAGTGTTCCTTGATATTAACATTCCTTGAGCTTTATCTGCAATAGGTAATAGTCTGAGAACTGAAGCCACATCACTAACTTTCTGCCACAAACAACTTAAATAAAGCATTATTGACTTCCGCTCCGAAACGTCTGTCAGTTTGTGTATCAGATGTTAAGATTATAGAAGCATAGAAGTGTCCTAATACAGAAAAGACAGACAATTGTACAGACTGTTCAATAACAGTGCAACCTTTGTTGGAAAAGTTCAAGAACATCAGTGATGGTTTGTTTAAAAAAGGAGTGCTCATTCTACACTTTCTTTATGTGCCTATGACTGTATGTACTATTATCTAATTTTTGAATTTTCTTTTTAACTTTTTATAGCTCCACTCATAGATGTCACGCCTAGCCATAGTGGTTCAGCCATGCTAATGTTGCTGTCTGTAGTATTTGTGGGATTGGCAGTATTTGTAATCTACAAATTCAAAAGGTATGTGGGTTTTTTTTCCCTGACTTTCCTTCCAACCTTCTGTCAGGTGTGAAAGCATAATTCAAAGAGAGCCTTAGCATACACATAGCAATGATGGTTTTTGTTAATGTTTTAGGAAGATTCCGGGCATTAATGTTTATGCACAGATGCAGAATGAGAAAGATCAAGAGATGGTCAGTCCAGGCAGTCAAAGTGAAAGCATTCCTAATGTCCCTCAGAGGGAGCTGATGAACCCACAGCAACTAGTAGATGAGAAGTTGGATACCAGGCCATAGGTAAATAAACTAAGCCAGCCAATAGCTGGTTAAAGTTTGCATTCTGATTGGCTAAACCTATTCTGACTTTTCCAACCTCTTCTGCTAAAACACTCAATATTCCCACTGATTCATTAACACATCTAAATTTCTCTAAACTAACACAGATATCTTTACCCTACCCCTCTTCTAATTAATGAGTCATAAAATATGAGGTAATTTTTTTTTCCATTGTAATAAATGTCACAATAGTTGCATAGGACCGTGGAAATATTTTCTACTACCATCATAAATGCCTTTATTCAAGGAAACATTTCCCAGTTTTTGGTTCATATTTTGTGGCAACAAAATTTATCTATGAACTTTTTTATGTTTATGACATATGCCATTCAGAGTCACTTACTGAGATGTTATAAATAAACAAAAAACCAAACTTGCACTAATCATTAGACAATATAAAAATTTCCTTTATGGTATCATGACAAATTACTAGCTGTCCTTATTACAATACTAGCTGAATTTATTCTGCTATTTTTATTCTTTTATATCTATCACACCATTTAGGCAATCTCTCACAAAAATTAAACTGAGCACAAATGGAAACCATTACAATTAATACAAGATATTTTATTTACATATCTTTGAATAAAAAATTGTGCTTTCTAAATACCTTTGTATAGTCACTGCAGTATATCCCATCACATGTTTCTCAAAATTGCCAATTTTCAGATGCATGGACTTCAACTCCCAGAACTCCCCACCCAGCATAAGATGCTCTTAAAGATGGACATCTCCTTATAGTTTTATTGATTTGTGGAACGATTGAAAAAAAGGATAGTTTGAGTAACCTAAGGCTGACTAATTTAAGATGTTAGTGGTAGTCATTATTTTATATTTCAGCCAGAAATGTATTTACAACCAGAAATGTATTTACAACCATGGTAAACTTTTAAAAGCAGGTATAATACCGCTTCTCCATATAAGTCTAAGAGACCAAGTATTATTTCAGTTTCAATTAAAATTTTTGAATTTCATAAAAAGGCAGCCCTATATTAACCAAGTTTGGATAAACTCTGAAGAAAGCTTTACTGGAGGTGAGTTTGCCAATCCACTACTTTCAAATTCTCTGCTGCACATATTAGCATGACATGGGCCTTTAGAACATAGAATGAAGGGTACCTTGGAGGTCTTCTAATCCATCCCCCTGCTCAAGCAGGACACCTTCTGTTCTTTGAATATAGATTTTGAATGGACTATGTCCAATTCATCCATTTGTATTCTTGCTGTCTACCTTACAGTAGTATGATCAGCTCACAAAATTTAAGGATAGTATTTTTTTTTTTTTTTGCTTTATGTTGAAGCTAAATGTCAACATTTGAGGAAAGATGTGAACGATAAAGAGGTAGATGCCAATAAAAATGAAGTATATTTGAACTGATGTCATTTTAAATTCAAAAGTATATTAAATTAATAGGTACAGCTAATATGTACATGATTTATATATTTAATATTTCCCCATATTTAACAAAAAACAAAAAGTAATATGTAAGTAAGCTATGGCGACACAGTGGTTAGTATTGCAGGCTAATTCAGCTCATTGCCAAGAGTTTGATTCTGAATGGCTCAGGGTTGACCCAGCCTTCCATCCTCTGAGATCGGTAAAATGAGGACCCAGATTGTTGGAGGCAATATGCTGATTCTGTAAACTGCTTAGAGAGGTTGTAAAGCACTATGAACCAGTATATAAGTCTAAGTGCTATTGCTATATATTGCCAACCAGCAGTATTTTGAAAGGGCACAAGTTATGCATCCTTCTGGAAATGAATTATTAATTACTGTATGATCAAATGCATGCAACTGTATTAATACTGAAGCTGTTTTTTGTACTTTATCCTTAATTATAGCTTCATTTCTCTTCCTTCCCTTTCCCTTGCACATGTGGATTAGTATTCAAGGATTGTACTTTTAATGAACCCAACTGATTCTGGCTGGGGTTATTTGTAGGGTTGCCAGATTTCCAAAGACCAATTCTTGTTCACAAGAGGCTATTGGGAGGAAAATCTCCTGGACATCCTGGACACCAACCAGCGAGCGTGACCAGACAGCCAAGGACTGCCCAGGGTCCAGGACCAGACAGTGCATAGACTCTTGCCCTGCTGATAAGTACACTGGCGGTCAGATGTCTGAGGAATGCTCGTCAGGCGCAGGTGCGCTGGGTTGCTGACCCACTGATTAGTATACTGGTGGTCAGCTGAATGGGTGGGGGACTGGAGCACTGCCTGTAGGGCACAAGGCCAAAGCAACCATGTTAAAATACATTGGTAATCTGGAGGTCTTCCAGAGCTGCCAGTCATAAAGTTTGATTATAAATATTGTCCTGGGCAGTGGACAAAACAGGTGGTTTCTATACTGTCCAAGTTCATCATGGATATCTGGCAACCCTATTTGGATTTAGCCTTGGTGGTATCCAAGCCAGTAATTACCATAATGCAACTTAAAAGTATTTTGAAATGTTTGGGCTCAGTCTTGGACAATACAACAGACAGAGAGAGAGAAAAAGAAAGAAATCATATCCTTCTGTAATCATATTTTAATATAAGGTGCAGATTTTGTGCATATATCTATCTTATTGCTTCAAGACCATTTTATGGCCAGGTTCAGTGATAATTAAATAAATAAAGAGACTTTCAAGTTTGTAAGCATTCCATATAGAATTTAATTTTTAGGCAGGTTTAGAGAGAGCATGCTTATTTTTTGTAGTGTTCTATAGTTTGGAAAAATAGATTTCCAGAAGCATATGCACTGGAATGAAAATTCAGAAGTACTCTTAATATATGGGAGTTGCTAAAACCTATAATGTATGTGACAAAACTATATGTATATGAGTGAAAATATCTCCAAATGCATATAATGATTAAAAATTGAAAGTAAAGCAGCATAGATTCATAGAACAGAAGATTTTCCCTGAAATCCATGCTGCATCAGCAAAGAAAGTAGAGTTCATGGTCAATTCCATAGTTTTAGATAGCCCAAATATGAAAATTTTAGGAATTTTTGAATAAACTTAGTTCCTCAAAAATTCTCTAAACCACTAAATGTAAAATCTGATGAGAGAGACAGAGTGGGGGAGAAAGAGAGAGATAGAGAGAGAGACAGAGAGAGATTGCACAGTTTCAGGCTTCTAGTCTTTGAGGAAAGACAAGAACCTCAGCAGATTGTCAGAGCCCTGACACTTTATAGTTAGTTTCAAATGTTATCAAAAGTAAGCACTTTAACTCAAAGGTATCAAACCAGTCCAGTTTCTTCTTTCTGTCACAGGCTGGGCTTTAATTTGACAGGGTTAAGATATACTCATTAGTATGAGAACAAGATATGTTCAGCCTTCGAAATGACAAGCAGGAACTCAAGATGAACATAATGTCTCAGTGAGGAACATTTACACCCAAAGTATCGAATATCTGTTCCCCCAGTCACATTTTGTTATTTTGCTAATTTAAATTTATTGTTTTTATCTCTTTTTATTACAGGAAGTATTTCCACAGTTGCTGAGACTCAAAGCACAAAAGAAATTCCTACCTGTGTTAATGTTTGAAAGAAGGACACCACTCTATCTTTACCCCTTTCAAATTTTATTCATATATATATATATATGATATATATATATGATATATATATAATTACAAGATCTGATACAAAAATGAGAGAGAGAGAGAGAGGAACCATTCACTGCTTTTGGACTTTTGATTCTTCTGATGACAAAAAAAAAAAAAGGTTTTTAGCTTTAAGCCTGTGCATGTGGATGTCATTTGGGTAACATATTTAGAATGTACAGATGCTCTATTTTAGTGAGGTAAAAGGAAAACACTACTTCCTCTTAATCCTCTTCCCATTTCTTTTTCTAATCAAGATTTAATTTTAGATGATCCATACTGATATAGGCCAAGAATGTGCATGAGGTATTTTGGAAGGGAAATTAGATGAATGTTAACTTACTGACTTTCAGTATAACTCCTAATGTTTTGGTTTTTTTTAGCACTGAAGGATTATAGATGACTTTGGCACTATAGCCTACATTCCTGAAATACAAAAGACAAAAATGTAATAGAATTTTAAAAACATAACAGTTTTATGACTTTTTTTCCTTGTGTTTTCACCTGGTATTTTATGTACTCCCTGAAATAATTTGTCTGGAGTTCTTTTAGTTTTGTTAAAGGGGGTGTAAAACAAATAGATAAAATGTGTTTTCCACTGCCAAAATCAAAATACTTCATATGTAGTTGTTTGACACTTTCATTCATGCCATTCTAAGTACAAAAACAACAACAACCAAAAAACTATTCTTATAGATATAAATCTAGTCACAGGGTTTGAATATCAGTTTCAACTTGTCTTTGCCCTTTGATATCATTAGTCATCTCTTTTAGCCTCCAATTTAATATAGACATCCAGTTAAGACTGTTCTACTTAGCATTTGTATTAATAATTTCAAGCATTTTTGCCAGCATCCCATTTATTCATTTTGGAGATAATTATTCATTAGTAGAATGGAACTAATTGGGGAAAATATTATTTCCAATAGTGTCCATATTATATTGCCTCTTCCCAAATTTGTTGGTGGTTTTTTAAAATCGTTACAAAAACCCAAAATAAATGAGAGTTATTTGGTACATTGAAGACATATTATAGATAAATTGGTTCAATCTATGAACTAACAATCATCAACTTTCAGAGGAATAAATTGCAAGTCCTGTTATCCCTGGACTTTATACAAAAATGATGTTTGTGTGATTTCATTATAAACATCCCACAAAACATAGATAATAGTATAATAGATAATATGTTTGCATAAGATGTAGACATAACAGAAATCTTTAAATCAAGTTATACTATTTACATGAAATTTTTTCCCCATACTGGGGCTAATTTTGCATCTTTTAGCTGGAATATATCAACATCATTTGTCATATAATTAAATTTTCAGATAGATACTAAATATATTTCCATATCTATTTAAAACTCATCTATCATTTTATTTCATTGTTTTTATTGCATTGTGGAATAAAACAGGTCCAGCTACAATTCTACAGACTAGACTCAAATACATTATTTTTCTAGACTGAGTCAGTGAAAATGTTCCACTGAGCAGATTTTAGTTCCTCCAAATTTGTAACCAATTGAAAATAATCCTCACTGGGGGACTCGATGTACATGTTAGCTGTAAACTGAAACTTGATTAATGCATTAAAGATATAATCCACATGTTGAGAATGAGTTTTAATTGTAAGCCTGATGGTTGAAAACCTGGCCTATTTTTTTTAGTGACTTGTTGATTCCCCACTGTTAGATTTTTGTAATGTTTTGCTTCATGAAAAGTTACACTCCCAGTAAAGACATTATCTTTTTACAAATATTGAATTCAGTATGAGAAATATATTTCCATGACACCAGCTCCTGGAGTGCACATGCACTAATGGAACATGAACACTCTCTTGGAATAACCACCTCCCCAGAATGAACTGGATGCCCTTATCTTTCTCTTAATCTATCTGTTTCTAGCATATAGCATAAAGTAACATCAAATAAAGTAAGGAGTATCAGAGATTATGTAATTCATTGAAAAAGTAAGGTCTTGAAGGTCTGTTATTCAATGCTAAAGCATCCATTCCATAAAGTTGTTGGTTGAAGTATATTACAGAGAGATAAAATACTAATAAAATATCTACCTCACTTACCCAGGTAAGTAAGTTAGTCCAATGAAACTGTTTCCCAAAGTACTGGAATTTCTAAACATGTATTAATTTTTGGAAGTCATATTATTACTATTATTAGATATTTTAAAACATATCCAGTGGTATGATAGTGTTCAGAAGGATCATAATTGAAGACTTTATAGTTAAGGTTATTAACTATAATTATTAATTTATAAATCAATTTAAATAATTAATCTGATTTATACATTAGTGTTCAAACAATGTATTAAAACTCAATAGCCAGATATTTGAATACTTATGCTTAAAACTTTTTAAAAAGTGTTATGAAACTTTAAACTTCAAAATGGATACTAAAAAGTGAGTGCATTAATAAGTATGATTATTAATATGGTAATCGCTATTTATAATAAAATTAATGAAATTCCATGTATGCAGGGGGAAGTGAAAAATGATCCACTGAGATACATTGTTTCAGATTTTTATAATATGACAGGTTTTCTTAAGCTTAATTTAAACATCATTTAACTTAGATTACTTCAGATTTATGCCAGTTTTAAAGGTCAAAGCCTTAATTCTAGCAAATGTTGAGAAGCGATGAGGTCGGAAATATAGCATTAAGATCATCAGTCTAGTAAGCTGCTAGTTATATGGATATTTATTGCAAATCTTGCAATCAGTACCTAATGAGGAGCTGTTGCCTGTGCAACAGGCTTTGGTATGCTTCATCTTCCATCAATGGATGATATTTATAAATATCCTCCTTTACTGGAATTGAAACTGGCAAGATAAGTTTTCCTAATATAAGATGCTGATGTGATTGTTTTGGCACAGCTCTGTTATTAAGGCTGTACATGTATTCTTACTGCCAGTGAGAGTGAGTCAGATAGAACTCAAGTATCCTGAATTAAGCTGCTAGTGTACGACATAAAGCACTATTGCACAGAATCCTTTCGGGAGGATGGTTTAAAATAAAAACCTGGTGCCCTTTCCTGTGCAGCATTTGGTTATGTGAAAGATCTGAAAAGCAATTAAGCTCATAACTCAATATTTCTAACAATGAATTTGGACAACCGTATTGGATATTTTTCATGTTATTTCAGCAACTAGAATTTCTGCTTCCATGAGTCATGATGTTACTTTGCTGCCTTATAGATGCCTCCAACCCAAATAAAACATTGGTACAGGTTTGGCAAAACAATTGGCCATAAAGAAAGCTTCAGTATTATACTAACAAAGTTTTCAGTTTTAATTTTTTTGGAGTCCGATTATTTAAATAATAGTATTAATTACTTAAATGTGTCCTCTAGAAATCAAGAAATCATTTAATTTTAATCTTCAACCTTATTATTTTCTGAAGTCCATTTTAATACTAAGGCCACATTGCTACATGTGAATATAAGAAATATAGAGTGAGGATAATATCTGGTTTATTGTAATGCTAAGAAATCAGGGATGTAGAATAAATCCATATTTTTTTCATATAATAAGAACAGAATACTATCCATAGTCTCAAAACACAAAAAGTAGATAACTATAAAATAAGTCATATTGATAAGCCTTTGGAATTCTTCTGCAGCTTTTTTCACTAGATGGGAATTATGTGTATCCATCGGTGTAGCTGTCAGGATATGGGAAAATAATCAAGGATAACTGTACAATAATTCTCACAATTATAACAGATAGAAGTCCAATATTAGTGGTGTTATTTTTATAGGAAATAAATTTGATTTCTTTTCTTATAGCATTGAACTATTGCTAATTTTGAAATGACTTTTTGATGTAATTTTCACCTCTTGGTTGGATACAATGTAGTGTAATGTATAATTGCTATTGTTTATTGATTTTACAGTCATATTTATTAAACAGATTATGTCTCTAAAGGAAAGTATTGGATTGTCAGTTATTAATTTCTCTCCTTAGAGTGTGAGCACAAATATTTTTTTTTAAATGTAATCTAATCTACATAAAATACTAACAAAATTACAACTGTGCCCTTGTTTATCATCATACAATAGAAGCAATTTCCATACGACAATTCCAAATACTTTGGTTATCAAAGTCAATTTTCTCTACAATTTAGCTTGTTATATGATCCAATTAGATTCAGCTTTAGTGACAACATTGACAAATGCTTGATAATTCAGCCTGTCATGTGTAGTTCTACCAAGTACAGTCCTATAATCAATATGACTCATCTTTCTATTCTTCTTTCCATGATAAATATAGTTTTCCCTCCCATTCATCCTCCATTTGCATCACATGATCCAAAATAGCCCAAATATCTATTAAAATATTCCAAATGGTCTTAAAATGGGACTTAAAATAGTCCCATGACTACTGCCCCAAAGGAATAGTCTTTATTGGGTATTGATTGATTTTACAAAATAACAGAGTTGGAGGGACCTTGGAGGTCTTCTAGTCCAACCCCTTGGTCAAGCAGGAAACCCTATGCCATTTCAGAGAAACAGTCATCAATCTCTTCTTAAAAATCTCCAGTATTGGAGTACCCGCTACTTCACTGATCACAATACTCTTATTAACTATCTAAAGAACCATAATATGAAGGTATGTTATTTATCTTGCTCTTTCTTGGTATTCAGGTTTACAGCTATACAATAAAACCAATATAACCAATAAAAGACCATTGCTCTTACCATTTTTCTTGGAGGTGAGGAAACAGAGGGAGTATGCACTTTCCTCAGGATATTTATCACCAGGGGAAACCATAGAAGGAAACAGTTACCTATATAATAATGGCATAGGTTTACTAAATCAAAATTAAGACAAAATTGTTCCTCAATATATTTCTTAGTTCCAGTACAATTAATCAGATCTACGCATCATGGAAAACAGGATTTTCTCAGTTCCTATAAGCAGAGAT